TAATACGTTAAAATTGCTTAAACATGGCGAGATAGTGAAGCCCTCATTTAAATATATAATAGATAGATGATTCGGGCATTCAAAATTGGAGGCCAAATTTGCAACCCCTAATTCGATATTGAGCTGCTTAATTTAAACTCGGTAAAATAACCATTAAAATCAAATTGGAAAATCGAAACAATTCTTAACTATTGCAATATACGATATAGCTTAAACATGCAAAAATATTACGTTGAAAATGCTCAAACATGGCGAAACAGTGAAGCCCTCATTTAAATAAATAATAGATGATTCGGGCATTCAAAATTGGAGGCCAAATTTGCAACCCCTAATTCGATATTGGGCTGCTTAATTTAAACTCGGTAAAATAACCACTAAAATCAACAGGAAAATCGAAAAAATTCTTAACCATTGCAATATACGATATAGCTTAAAAATGCAAAAATGATACGTTGAAAACGCTTAACCATGGCGAGATAGTGAAGCCCTCATTTAAATATATAATAGATGATTCGGGCATTCAAAAGTGGAGGCCAAATTTGCAACCCCTAATTCGATATTGGGCTGCTTAATTTAAACTCGGTAAAATAACCACTAAAATCAAATTGGAAAATCGAAAAAATTCTTAACCATTGCAATATACGATTTAGCTTAAACATGCAAAATTAATACGTTAAAAATGCTTAAACATGGCGAGATAGTGAAGCCCTCATTTAAATCTATAATAGATAAATGATTCTGGCATTCAAAATTGGAGGCCAAAATTGCAACCCCTAATTCGATATTGGGCTGCTTAATTTAAACTGGGTAAAATAACCACTAAAATCAATATGGAAAATCGAAAAAATTCTTAACCATTGCAATATACGATATAGCTTAAAAATGCAAAAATAATACGTTGAAAACGCTTAACCATGGCGAGATAGTGAAGCCCTCATTTAAATATTTAATAGATGATTCGGGCATTCAAAATTGGAGGCCAAATTTGCAACCCCTTATTCGATATTGGGCTGCTTAATTTAAACTCGGTAAAATAATCACTAAAATCAAATTGGAAAATCTAAAAAATTCTTAACCATTGCAATATACGACATAGCTTAAACATGCAAAAATAATACGTTAAAAATGCTTAAAAATGGCGAGATAGTGAAGCCCTCATTTGAATATATAATAGATGATTCGGGCATTCAAAATTGGAGGCCAAATTTGCAACCCCTAATTCGATATTGGGCTGCTTAATTTAAACTCGGTAAAATAACCATTAAAATCAAATTGGAAAATCGAAACAATTCTTAACTATAGCAATATACGATATAGCTTAAACATGCAAAAATATTACGTTGAAAATGCTCAAACATGGCGAAACAGTGAAGCCCTCATTTAAATATATAATAGATGATTCGGGCATTCAAAATTGGAGGCCAAATTTGCAACCCCTAATTCAATATTGGGCTGCTTAATTTAAACTCGGTAAAACAACCACTAAAATCAAATTGGAAAATCGAAAAAAATCTTAACCATTGCAATATACGATATAGCTTAAACATGCAAAAATAATACGTTAAAAATGCTTAAACATGGCGAGATAGTGAAGCCCTCATTTAAATATATAATAGATAGATGATTCGGGCATTCAAAATTGGAGGCCAAATTTGCAACCCCTAATTCAATATTGGGCTGCTTAATTTAAACTCGGTAAAATAACCATTAAAATCAAATTGGAAAATCGAAAAAATTCTTAACCATTGCAATTTACGATATAGATTAAACATGCAAAAAAAATACGTTGAAAATGCTCAAACATGGCGAAATAGTGAAGCCCTCATTTAAATTTATAATAGATGATTCGGGCATTCAAAATTGGAGGCCAAATTTGCAACCCCTAATTCAATATTGGGCTGCTTAATTTAAACTCGGTAAAATAACCACTGAAATCAATATGGAAAATCGAAAAAATTCTTAACCATTGCAATATACGATTTAGCTTAAAAACGCAAAAATAATACGTTGAAAACGCTTAACCATGGCGAGATAGTGAAGCCCTCATTTGAATATATAATAGATGATTCGGGCATTCAAAATTGGAGGCCAAATTTGCAACCCCTAATTCGATATTGGGCTGCTTAATTTAAACTCGGTAAAATAACCATTAAAATCAAATTGGCAAATCGAAACAATTCTTAACTATAGCAATATACGATATAGCTTAAACATGCAAAAATATTACGTTGAAAATGCTCAAACATGGCGAAACAGTGAAGCCCTCATTTAAATATATAATAGATGATTCGGGCATTCAAAATTGGAGGCCAAATTTGCAACCCCTAATTCAATATTGGGCTGCTTAATTTAAACTCGGTAAAACAACCACTAAAATCAAATTGGAAAATCGAAAAAAATCTTAACCATTGCAATATACGATAAAGCTTAAACATGCAAAAATAATACGTTAAAAATGCTTAAACATGGCGAGATAGTGAAGCCCTCATTTAAATATATAATAGATAGATGATTCGGGCATTCAAAATTGGAGGCCAAATTTGCAACCCCTAATTCAATATTGGGCTGCTTAATTTAAACTCGGTAAAATAACCATTAAAATCAAATTGGAAAATCGAAAAAATTCTTAACCAATGCAATATACGATATAGATTAAACATGCAAAAAAAATACGTTGAAAATGCTCAAACATGGCGAAATAGTGAAGCCCTCATTTAAATTTATAATAGATGATTCGGGCATTCAAAATTGGAGGCCAAATTTGCAACCCCTAATTCAATATTGGGCTGCTTAATTTAAACTCGGTAAAATAACCACTGAAATCAATATGGAAAATCGAAAAAATTCTTAACCATTGCAATATACGATTTAGCTTAAAAACGCAAAAATAATACGTTGAAAACGCTTAACCATGGCGAGATAGTGAAGCCCTCATTTAAATATTTAATAGATGATTCTGGCATTCAAAATTGGAGGCCAAATTTGCAACCCATAATTCGATATTGGGCTGCTTAATTTAAACTCGGTAAAATAACCATTAAAATCAAATTGGAAAATCGAAAAAATTCTTAACCATTGCAATATACGATATAGATTAAAGATGCAAAAAAAATACGTTGAAAATGCTCAAACATGGCGAAATAGTGAAGCCCTCATTTAAATTTATAATAGATGATTCGGGCATTCAAAATTGGAGGCCAAATTTGCAACCCCTAAATCGATATTTGGCTGCTTAATTTAAACTCGGTGAAATAACCACTAAAATCAAATTGTAAAATCGAAAAAATTCTTAACCATTGCAATATAAGGTATAGCTTAAACATGCAAAAATAATACGTTGAAAATGCTTAAACATGGCGAGATAGTGAAGCCCTCATTTAAATATATAATAGATGATTCGGGCATTCAAAATTGGAGGCCAAATTTGCAACCCCTAATTCGATATTGGGCTGCTTATTTTAAACTCGGTAAAATAACCACTAAAATCAAATTGGAAAATCGAAAAAATTCTTAACCATTGCAATATACGATATAGCTTAAACATAAAAAATAATACGTTGAAAATAGTTAAACATGTCGAGATAGTGAAGCCCTCATTTAAATATATAATAGATAGATGATTCGGGCATTCAAAATTGGAGGCCAAATTTGCAACTTCTAATTCGATATTGGGCTGCTTAATTTAAACTCGGTAAAACAACCACTAAAATCAAATTGAAAATCTAAAAAACTTTTAAACCATTGCAATATACGATATAGCTTAAACATGCAAAAATAATACGTTGAAAATGCTTAAACATGGCGAGATAGTGAAGCCCTCATTTAAATATATAATAAATGATTCGGGCATTCAAAATTGGAGGCCAAATTTGCAACCCCTAATTCGATATTGGGCTGCTTAATTTAAACTCGGTAAAATAACCACTAAAATCAAATTGGAAAATCGAAAAAATTCTTAACCATTGCAATATACGATATAGTTTAAACGTGCAAAAATAATACGTTGAAAATGCTTAAACATGGCGCGATAGTGAAGCCCTCATTTAAATATATAATAGATTAACTTTCGCTTTCGAATTTCAAAGAAAAAATTATATAGCCTAAATTAAAGCTACTTGAAACTCAAAAACAATTGATGATTGACACCGTTTCGACAAAGTTGGATCAATAAGTAAGTTTGCATTCTGCTGGGAATTCTGTTAATTGATTTCCACTTTCGAAACCAGAAGTCGATTACGTTTTAGTAGCCTTGACACTTTTGCTGTTCGATAGTGGAGTTTGCCCTCCTTTTAACAAAGGAAATAAACTGAAATTAAAAAGAAATCAAAAGTCAAATTGGGAAAAATCAAATTTGAGCTTTGAGCGTGAACAAATTTCATGACTTTCCTGAAAAAAACTAAACGAACTATCACGACCAATAAAAAGAGTATTCACTACGTTCATCGACTCTTAAAAATCAAAACCAACTGGTCGCAACTAGTTTCCCTCATATCCAATTAACTTTAACTAGAAACCTTTTGACATGCAAATACGCAGCAGCGCTCATGAAAAAAATAAAGCAGAAAATAAAGCAATTTTTGAAGCTGCAACTGTTTACTTGGAGAACAGTTTAAATTAAAGTATAATCCGAAGGTTTCGTTTTTCTAAGCTTGTGGATCAATGAAAACTCGGCCTTCTATGGGCGCTGGTGACTTCGACTAAGTAGATCGCGGTTATTTCTGAATGCCTCAAATATGATATGTTGATCTTGAAATCTCGATCACTTTGACCAGCAGTTTAAAATCTACATAATCTTCGACCAAAATGAGCTACCTTTGACTTTTCAGAAAACTTTTAATTATGTTGCGAAAAAGCTGCAGAAATACGGTAAACCCAAACTGATAATCAGTCGCCGCCACACCTCTTATGGGGGAGGAAGCTAGCTTTACCCACCTTAGCCAACTGCAGTATAGTCATGTTCGTTTCCTCACTTGCGTAATGACAAAAGAGGGCGAACTAACCTGAAGGGGCATTTTCATCCTCAGAATTTCACACCACTTGAGCAGCAGATCATCAGGCGCATGACACAGTGTGAACACCAGGTCGCTCTCCTTCTGAAAACAACAACAAAAGTAATTTCTCACAGTCAACTCAACTCATAAGACATATCAGGCCAACCCCAGCATTAACAACTATTATTTTTCGCAAACAAAAACAACATGGGCCGTCCTTTAACGCTTAAGCGCCAGACTTTTTTCTCTAATTTACGAACTAGAAGCCTTTACAGCCTTGCATTGGGATGTCTTTGAAAGTTTGAAAAAGGAATCCCCCATTCATTGACAATTGGTTGGTACCAAACCCCCGAAAGAAACGAACTGATAGTTGGGTCCCTCAAGGATAATTTCCCTTAAATAAACTTGAGACCCTATAATTTTCGTGACATAATTTATAAATTGAATTTAGGCCGAATCTGTGACAATTACAGAAAAATGGCAGGACCCAACTAACTACTATCATATTTGAAGCTTAAAAGATTCAAATCGCGAGTTCAAATTCATCAGAATAACCGACCTGATTTGAGGTAGTTTTAAAATGAAGCAAAACAGCTATTCAATTGGAAGCCACACACAATAGTTAGCAATCAATTTAATGAAATCACAATACTGATTATTTGATAAAAAAGATCTTACAGGGCGTTGTTTTATATTGAAATTTATCAAAAACTATTTAGTTCAAACTTCAAACCCAGCTGGAGAGTTAAAAGTTAAGTTTGAGACACCTGGATCACCAATATAGGGGATATAAAATGATTAGTGTTAACCAGATGAAAACTCAATATCGAAGTGAATTAAGAATTTTAAACAAACCTTTCGCAGTTTCTTGGAAAATGGCTGCAATACAACAAAAGGAGTGAACAGTCAGGAAGCTAAAAACTAGAACAACATACTTATTTGGAGCGTCATATAATCGTTTAGGAATATCCATCCGCCTTCAATTAAGCGCGTACAGCATAACAAAATGACTTACGCTTTTGGCTGTGCCCAGCTATCATGAAGAAACTGTTTACTTCAAAAATTTAGCCTAGGATAAATCATGTGTTGAAATTCACTTATAATGAAAAAAAAAAAACATCTCGCCGGCAGCCACAACAATTTCATTGGGAAAAAACAATAGCCGTTTATTATACAATAGTAATACTATACTGAATGGTCCGACCACTATTTTGACAGAAAAATAAATTCAAAACAACCTGAAAAGACGAATTAACGTTTTTTAATTCCCGTTTTGAATTTTTGGTTTTTGCTGAAGGTGTATTTTGTATAAAACAATAATATATTCTAACTTAGAGAATAATGCAAAAGTCTAAAATGCAAAAGGATAAGGGCAATTTTTCTTGACACAGCATTTCAAAAATTTGTCATTAATGAAGATTATCATGTTGTTCACAAAAGGCAACTGATTTTGCTTATCCACGCAAAATCAGTTGCCTTTTTTGAACAACATGATAATCTTGATACACAATTTTTACATGATAATCATAAACAACATGATTTTTTGAACAACATGATAATCATAAACAACTTTTTGGAATCCGAATAACAAAAAGTGCTCCAATGAGAGACATGGAAATGCAGGAACCCTTCTCAAATCTCTCCGAATAGCTGGCATAAAAAACTAATACCCTCGAACTTAACAATCAAGATGAAATCTTCAAAAAAGAAACCGAAAAAAAAATGACCGTTTTGCTTTGAAACTATTTTCTGATTGTGCCTAATTATGTTATTTCATAATAATGCTAAACATTAAGAATGCCGAGTTGATTAATAAGTTCTCCATTATTGAAGTTATGCAGAAATTTGACCACACACGTTTGACTAACCAACTAGAGGTCAGAGTTCAATTCCCTCTAGGAACATTTTATGCTTTGTAAAGACCTTCCATTAAACTTGCCACATCTTGCATTATATCACCTGTTTTATTTGAATTGAAAATTTTAACCTAGAAATTGCGTTTTTTCGGCGCGCGCTTCCCCCTCAAAAATAGTAAATTGCGCCGAAGGCTCCTTTAGAAAAATTTTAAGGTTTGTCATAGGGCAGTAACGAATTGAAACCTGTCAGCAAGGGGCGGATCTAGGATTTTCTCGAAGGGGGGCGGATTGAAAAAATTTTCGAAAATTAATTTTGTCGACCTTTGTTTTTTTAGGTCGACCAAATTGATTTTCTGAGTCTCCTTAACCACAATAAAGACCATAATTTGACCAAATATTGTGCACCGCAGGCAAATTTTTGAAAAAAGGCCAAAAAAGGCGTTTTTACGCTTTTTAAAAAAAATGTTGACCAAAAAATCGCAACTTTTCGGCGCGCGCTTCCCCCTCAAATTAAGTATTTGTTGGCGCCGAAAGCGCCTTTACAAAAATTTAGAGGTACGTCAGCCAAAAATGGATATCTCAAAATAGTTGAAAGGGGGACCCTTTGGATCGGCAGGGGGTCGAATCACTGAGGGGGGCATCCGCACACCCCCCCCCCCCCCTAAATCCGCCACTGCTGTCAGCACAGCGAAAGGTTTCTAAAAATTGAACTGTTTTAAGCTTCCAAGCTGATGACCGGGATAATTTCAACGCAGCTTTTCAACAAACCGCCCTGCCTCGCAAGAAAAAAATTAGCATATGCCACTGGCGAGGAGGTATCTATCAGGAAGAAGTCCCGAAAATTAAGACTTATCTGAAGTCGATACTAGACAGACAAGTACTGCAACCGATGAATGTCAGAGAGTCGATTCAGGAAGGAAGCGAACAGTATTCTCCGTCGATTTAGAGGAAACGAGCTTCATTTCTGAAGAAATCTATCATAGCCGAGGAAAATTTCATGATTCAACTGTTTCATATTAATGCGCATTGGAACTGCAGGCAACATAAGATAAAATGTAGGGCCAACGAAAAGGCATGTAGAAATAAGACCGAAAGAGGTTTACAGAACATTTTCTCTCACATTTAATCAGATTAATCGACAATTGATTAGGCAAAAAGTTTTTGAGCGAACTCCAATAATTATTTGTGTTGCCTGCAGTTCCAATGCGCATTAACATGAAACAGTTGAATCATGAAATTTTCCTCGCCTATGATAGATTTCTTCAGAAATGAAGCTCGTTTCCTCTAAAACGACGGAGAATGCCTTTCAGAAAAAGGCAAATGTGAAAAAATGCTCTTTTTATATTGAGCTGAGTAGCTAATGGTCAAATCAATGAAAATGTAAATTTGAGAAAGTTTACAGTTTGATCAGGGGCGGATTTTTGGCCGACCGACCCAAAAATTTTCTAAAAACGCCTTCGGCGCCAATTTATACTAAATTTGAGGGGGAGCGCGCACCAAAAAAACGTGATTGTTTTGTCAAAATTTTTCAAGAAATGCCCAAAAACGGCTTTTTTCACCTTTTTTTCAAAAATTTGCCTGTGGTGCAGAAAATTTAGCCAAAACAGCGTCTTTTTAGTGCTTTAGGAGAGCTCGGAAAATCAATTTGGTCAACCTAAAAAAATGGTCGCCAAAATTTTCGAAAATTTTTCAAAAATCCGCCCCCTCCCTTCAAGAAAATCCTAAATCCACCCCTGAATTTGAAGGATATTTTGGTGGGAAGAAAATTTTCCGAATCCGAATACTACTATTTCTTTCAGGCAAAAATGAAGCGATACTCCCGCTTTAAAATAAGATGAAATATTCCACAATCGGGTTTAATTAAGTTCGGGCAAGGTGAACGCAATCGAAATAGAGCATTCCACAATTCGTCTACGCTCGACGAAAAAAGAATCTCATGCATCGGGTGATATGATGCAGAATCGAATACCAATAGCCGAAAAACAATATAGAAAATAACACAAAACTGAAATTAAATTATATCCTCGCAGCACAGATCTTCTAGACATCAAAAATTTAATTTGCATTCCTGTGGCGTGCAAAAACTCACTTCTCGACTTTCCACGTATTTAGCTAGACGCGATACGGTCACAGCTTTTAGCCCTGCGTAGTTTGTTTTTTGTTTAGCTTTAGCGAAATCTTTAGGAGGTAACTTCTTCTCTGGGGACTGCTGTTTAGGAGCAGACTCTGCTATAGAGTCCGAATCATCCTCACCGCACTTCTGTTAAAGTGAACATGAGGCATGAACATTCGTTACCGTTTACAAAATCACCGATACTATTTATTTGAACTTCCGTTCATTTAAAAAAAAAGTCGCTGAACCTTTTTATGACAAATCAATAGAAGCGCGCTGAAATTTGAAAACCGAAAAATTCATATTGCTTTTTTACTGCAAAAGAAACTATTATATAGTTAAAGAAGAAACAAGTCTTAAATTTTTCGAAAAAAAACAATTTACATAGGTTTAACTTTTTGTTAGTCAGTTATGTAAATATGCACTTACCACTTCTTTTAGCAGGAGTCCTTTGGCTAGCAGATTATTTGTGAAGAACTCTCTCGACTCCCTGTGCGTGAAATGGTCATCCTTGCCTTTACCATGACCATTCTCGCCTGCTTCAGCGTCCTTCTTGCTCCCCCCATTTCCTTTGTCTTCCTTTTTACTCGATTTTTCAACACTCGATTCTTCGTCCGACACCTGGTGCACTAGTACGAAGTCTATACGCTTCGGGATCTCATCGGCGCCAGGGAAAGTAGTGAAGCACGCCTTCAATTCTTCATCCGGAACCTGGGGAATGAACTTCAGATTCCTTCCCGTTACCTGCGACTCTATTCCCATCTCCTGTGATGCAAACGACAATAAATAAAAGCTGTGAAGCTATTTGTGTTGAAAATCAAAGCACATTTAAACCTCTGCGAAAAAAAAACAACAATTTGGTAAGCGTAAGATAGCCCAGAATTGAGATTAAATCAAACGTTGCTGCAAAAAAAAAACACTTGATAGATGCTATTGCCGCATAAAATTCTGATATCTATAATCTAGATCTTGATTAGAAAAATGTTACGAAAAATCATCATCATGAGTAGAAGTAAATTTTTATCAACAAAAACCGTTGAAGTATGTAGGATTATCATACACCATATCATGCACCATTACCAATTGTTTGAATTGGATCAATAAATGATGACCTAAGGCTCAAACGGGAGAATAATGTTTGTATTGTACCTGCAGATAGATTTGATAGTTTAATCTGTCGTCCAAAAGATGACGGTCTACTAATCTATATGGCTCAAAACGCGATTGCTTATTCTGTGTACATGCACAATACTATTCCACTTGGAGAAATTAAATCTTACATGTCGACTATTAAAGCTGGTTTCATCTAACATAATTCTTTTATGGCTGTTTTGGATTATGAGCTTACAATTATTCGCCACAAAGAGCTTATAATTTTTGGCCACTACGGATAACAGCTATTCTTCCTCTGATTAAAAGTTTTCATGATTTTGATAATTTTCTTGAAAACGAGGAAGGACCGCTGATAGGCATTGAGCCAACAGCAACTTCCTTGAAAGGAAAGACGGAGACACAAGTATATTCATCTTCGCTCCCCTTAAGCCGAAAACTTTCACAGAAAAAGCAACAAATACTTGCCATTCATGAACATCGGCAACAGACATGTGCAGTCATGAATGCAAAGAAACAACAAAAACTGACTGTTTCTTGAAAAAAAAAGAAAACTTTTTTCGAATTTCAAAGAAAAATTATATGGCCTTAAAGCCCTTTGAAATCATAGAACAATTTATGATTGAAATTTGTTTTAAATAAAATTAGCCCAATTTGAAAAAACTGGATCAATAGACAAATCTTTTCGAAACTAGAAGTCGATCACGTTTTTCGCGGCATTTACACTTCTGCTGTTCGATAGTTGAGTTTGCCTTCCTTTTGACAAAAGAAATGCACTAAACTTAAAAAGAAATCAAAAGTCAAACCGCAAAATATCCGATTTGAGCCTCCAACGTCAGCCTTGAAATATCCAATTTGAGCCTTGAAAACTTTGAACTATTACAAGAAAAATTGATAAATTGAGAAATAAATATTTAGTTAAAAGGCTAAGAAACATATCCAATTTTATTTTTCTGAAAGCGCCCATCAAATAAAAACAAGCAAATAAAAAGTACCTCCGGCTTCACAGGAGCATACATCTTGACTTCCTTTGTAGGTGCAACTACGTCATCCTCGTGCACTGCATCATGTGCATGGGGAGTGGCGTGAGGAGCAGAAGGGGTGGTCATCTCCAGGTTCACTGCTGGGTTTACTTGAGAATGGGGAGGGGAAGGGGGCGAGTGGAGAAGCGGCTGGGCGGAGGGATTGGGCCCAGTTGTGGAATCGTGGTCGGAATCTAACACAAAAACACCTAATTAAGAACAACTTCAAAGCCGAATAGTAAAAAAAATAAAAACTCGAAAATGGGTTGCAATCGTCTTATCATTCAGGACCTTATCAGATATAATTAGTTGTGCAACATTCGCTCGAAAGAAGCCTTATTAAGATAATTTATCCACGAGGGATAGGACCAAAATACGAGCTGTACAGCTCATCACGGCGAACCGCTGTTGTGCCCCTGCTTAAGAACTACATGCAATTTTTTTGGTTGCGTTTGAACATTCGAACATTCGTCCAACGTTAGGTATTTCCTTGGGTTTTTTCAGAACTACTAAGAAAAATGAAGATCAATATTTTAATGAATTTGTTTCAATTTTTATGCAGAATCTTATGCATGTTCACACAATCTCCAGCAAATGTTGCTCTTTTCTTGGTACAAATATTTCCAGCAGTTCTTAAAATACGCTCAGACGGGGTTCTTAAGATTGGAATGCAAAAAATGTTCCTCGCCAAAGTAGTAAGTCTTAAATACTTAGTATGGACAACTAAAAAAACGCAGACCAAATAGGATCGAATGTTTGCGGGAGCCTTCCAACGTTTTTCCCCGAAAGATCGTTCGAACATTGGGTTGCACCACTAGATATAATCAAAACGAAGTGTATTATTGTTACTATTTCTCAAACTAGTGTTAATTTCGTCCTTTCCTTTCAGTGTGGCGGTGTTCTAAGCAAATTCGTCTATTTGTTGAGAAGTTTTTAATTGCAGGTGCCAAGACGATCTTGTCTTCGGAACGTGGTGGACTAGTTCTATGGGTTTTCTCAAAAAAAGTCTCGACTGAATTTTAATTGATACTTTGCTCTCTCAGTTGGTGACTAGACTCTCTCAGCGCTATCTTTTAAGTCATTGTTTTTCGGTGTTTGTACAATAAATTACAGATAACTGGGGTAAATTACCGAACAGGGATGTAAATGTATTTAGAAAAAAAATTGATTTATTTATATGCGATAAAAACTGGATATAACAATGACTAAGGATGGCTATAGGCCGTCACGTAACCCAAATTTACGAAGGTTTCTGGCGTGCTTTTTTTGTTTTGATCCATTATTTTCTTCAAGTAAGGTTTAAAAAAAGTTATTCATGATTAAAGCACTAATAAATGAGTATTTTTTAGAAAGTAATAGATTGCTCTACCAGATCTTGATTGGGAGAGAACGTATGCGTTAAGAGAATAGGGTATGCGTGTTTAAAGATGGTGACTCGTGACGTGGAGTGTCTTGCAACGTCCCGGTGCAGTAAAAAAATTGCCTGCAGGTGCCGACATTGTTGTGAGTAGCTCTGGGACTGTTCCAACTGTATTTGAGTGGGTCTGGTTGTCATACACTTACTTTGATAGCAGGCATGTCGTTGCTTGTTGCTAAGTCTGAGCATAGTTTGATTTGTGGTCCAACTACTTTACGTCCACGATGAATATTTATTCTACAGATTTGGTAACCGTGGAAAAACTGAGCTGCTTTCCTGTAGTTGAAGTGTCGATTGAAGTTCCGCGAAGTGAGTTTTCGTTGCTTGCCACTGTTATGAGCCAAACGCCGAAACCGAGGTTCTCGACCAATTCAGTGGATGGCAGGAGGTATTCTTCCGCATCGCATACCTTAATCGCGACGATGCTTACTTGAAAGAGAGAATCGGCAGTCAGGAGAAATGACCGAGCTCTGTTGCACTTGATTCGCAACATATTTGAAATCGGTCACTTCCAATACACTTCTGTAGCTGAAAGTGATCCAGGGCTGCGCTCTCCATCGCGTCTTCGGAAACGGCTAAATATGCTTTCTCCAGTTGCCAACTCAGGGCTGCACTTTGGTAGAGTTGTGGCATGCGAACTGGTTTCGCTTCGTGGAAGGTGAAAATGGATATGACGAGAAGCTAGTGGTATAGCTAATTTCAATAAGAGGCCTGCGTCAGTAGCGATATCATCATTGAGTAGTTTTGACTCATAGTACGGAATTATTGCGTCAATTAGGATAGCTAGTGTGAGCATGTCATTTGCCTTTGCCTGTTCAGTACCTACCTATTTCTTCTGAATTGGTATTTCATAGAAAGAGTCGCGCAATGAGTAATACCAATTTTCGCCCCATGGACTGGAATTGATGCGCCAGTGGATCCTTGTAGAAGGTATTTGAAGTATGTTTTGGCCACTTTTATTAGCAGATTTGTTCGACTTACATTCGATTTGTTCGACTTACATTTATTTTTTTGCTGCATCAGCAGCTGGTGTTTTTTGGTTTTGGCTTCTTCGTGCGATCCTTAGTTTTGATTTAGTTTTTATGTACGGATATATCTGCGAAAACAAATGCTCTGTCGTAGGAAAAGATTCTGATTGTGTTTGACTAGAAGAATGGGTTCCTTATTACTATGCTGTTCATACAGCGTAAAATTAGAAAGTTTCCGTAAAAGTAAACGTTGCCAAAGAGAAGGAGTTTTAAGCCTACCCAAAGACTTTCAGAAAAGTCCCCCAAAATTAATCTGAGGTTATTATATGCGGACTGTTCCAGTTCTATTTGCCTAGTTTCGGTTTAGAATTGTATTTTCTCGTAAACGTTCTGGATTTCGGGACGTGACAGAAAAGTTATTTCTGAGCTTTCTCAAAAGCAGTCTCAACTGAACTTCAATTGACATCTTGCTCTCTCAGTTGGTTACTAGGCTCTCTCAGAGCTATCTATCAAGTCATGGTTGACTCCGGTGTTTACCATCAGCAATGATTGACAACAAGTGTCTTTCACAAATGATCAATCAAACAGAAAGAAATTGGAACCTAGAATGAAATTATTCAAATTTTGCGTCAATTATTCAAATTTTGAACCACCTCAAAAAAAATTTTAAAAAAACTTTCCAGTGTCGAGAAAAATTGGTTTGAAATTTCGAGCAAATAAAGCCTTATTTTAATTGTTTTAAAATTTACATTACCTTAACTTAAAATGTAAGAACTTAGTTTTACTTGAGTAACGCTAGTTTACTTTGAGACTTTTAGCGCCTTTTGGAATCAAAATTTGCAAAAATTGAAAAAACTGCAAAACTAGAAAAAAAAACTGCAAACCTTTTTTTGATTTCGTTTTTGAAGTAATTTTTATGCAAAACATGTTTTTCAATTTACTTATTTTACTGTGACTTTCGAAAATACAATCTGCAGTTTTTTTTTCAGCTCCTTTTATCACACCACGCCGAACTTTTTTATCACACCACGCCGAAAAAAAACAACTATTTGAAAAACTTTGTTGTATTTTTTAAGACCATGGTCGGAACATTCTGTGCTACTTGCACAGTAACCGGCTATCCTTGTTTCACTTTACGCATGGATTACAATGGCTAAATAAATGAGCTTACTTCATCGCCTTGCTTTCATATTAAAAAAAAAACGAAACACTTTTTCCTTTCTTCAACTTTCAATTTTTGTGCTTGAAATTAGTCAATTGAGCACACATCACAGGCATATCAAGGCAAGCTAGTCAACAAAAAGAGACGAAAGCAGAAATTCAACTAAATGGCCAGAAAAAAATTCGAAAACTATTTGTATTCAGAAAGAAGAAAACAGAACGCTGAATCTAGAAAAAGAGAACATGATACGAGATCTAAGCCGACAAAAATAAGCAGACGGACAATAGTCCGAAACAGAAAACTTCTTGTTTAAAAAAAGAGATCCCAGTCCGGACTAAAACCCCAGGCCTTGGTCACCTCAAGCTTATGTGTTACCTCTACACCAATTGCGCTGGACGGTAGATTAAAATTGAATTTTTCAAAGTGCAAGTCGAAACACGAGCAATAACTTAATAGCGATGAATTAAAAATTTAATACATCCGGCAAGTAAGCCGACAAAAGTTGGGACGAATTCCATGAAGCCCACAAAAAAAGCTATTTTAATTCTGAAAAAGTATCAAACAGTGCAACCAGTAGTTCAAGCGTTAAAACTCCTAAATTAAACATTAGCTTTTTTGCGAGCAAGTAGCAGAGAATGCAAACAAGCAAAAAAACGACACAGCAGCACTAAAAACGGTATGCAAAGAAAACTGCATAAAAATACACAAGATTGCGTTCTTGTTGCTACGAAGATTGCGGGATTGGAACTCGAATCTCCCGGCCAAGAGTCTCATGATGTTATCATTGAGCCGAAAAAAAAGATACAAAGCAAAAATATTGTGCTTTAATGAACCGTGTATAGATGATAATGCAGTTCAACTAACGAGTAAACTGAGCACAAAACTTTGCACTAAGATAAGCGAGTTATGTCGCAAGGACAAATGAATCTATAAATTGTACCAATGAATTGCAAAAACCGAGTAAATTAAATACATCTCGCAAAAAGTATTTGAAACTTAACTTATAGCCATATTTCGATATCAAAGTCATGTGATATATCGCATTCACGAGAACTCAAAAGATTTTTTTCAGGAAACATTTAAGAAAACCAAAATAAACAATAACAAAACCAGCAACAAAAACAATAACAGAAACATAGACCCATGCAACGCCAAAAGACTTTTTAAACCAACAGTTTTGTGACATAATAAAACAGCATGATATTTACCTGATGGGAAAGTAGGGTAAGGTAGACTCGTCTCCCCATTAGGGTAACTAGTTCCCACTGACGATGGGGACACTGTGTGTAAATTGGGGGAAATGGGAGGAAGGGGTTGGTTCTCCTCGTAGCCCATGACGTAGACAGGGTTGTCCGCACCCTCTTCCACACTCCGTCCCGGAACATTCCAGCCGATGTTAGCCATGATCGGAACTCGTTCAATTCAGATAAGATTGTGGGTTTTAGTTTGGTTTGATGTATTATGTTGGTTTTATTCAGTAGCTGACTATGTCTAAATAGCTTCTTCGCTATTGTGACAGCCTACTATATTGCTTGGCAGGCGTATTTGTGTGACATCGCATAGCCCAACCTGAAAGGAACAAGACAATGCAAGCTATTTATCTACATCTAGCTTCTAAACGTGGAAGTCAACAACCACTATTCTCATAGTCAGTCATGTAGTTAGTTTGTATCCATAGTTCAAATATTTAACTGCATCGAGACCCACAATTCGATGAACAAACCTACTTATGCCAATTTTGTTAGAAGTTAACCAGCAGACGTCGGTATATTTTGATCAAGCGATATTACATGAGTTTTCATCAAAGGCAGGAAACTGCATCAAAAGAGGTTATCATCTTTAACGGCCTCATTAGTTTGCAGCAGGGACACCGGGCAAATCTTACTATAATAAAACTATCACGAAGCACATTAAGTTATGGCGCGTTGAAATATCAACTTATCAATTTTTAATTTTGTATTCAATTAATTCTTATTGATAGAATTAATTTGAACGCCAAAGAAAACAATAGCCAACAGACAGTTAAAAAAGAGTAAAGAACGCAAGTAACCAAAAAAACACTGACTTTTTTTCTGAATGAATTTCGAAGAACAAAAACATGGTCTTAAAGCTCTTTGAATTTGTAGAACAATTTATGATTGACACTTTTTTTGATAAAAGACATATTCGACAATCAGAGTAGAACAGGCAAACTGGGCACTAGTTTCACCGCGCTGAAAATAATTTTACTAGAGCAAAACTAAAGATTCATGACGTAGACTTCTATACAAAAAATGTTTGCTTTACTAACTCAGAAACTGAATGCCAGTTCTCCTCGACACTGGAACAACTTTTTGCAAAGTTTTTGATATCGTTCGAATCAGTACTAAAAAGGCTTTAATATGATACAAGCGTGTAACGCACCTCCGGTGCTTCGAGTTTTTAACAACTCATAAAAAACCGCATATATTGGAAATAAGATCTGTATACTTTGAGTGTACCCTGACAGCACACAATTACAAGGTTGGTAATTTCAAATTTTGCTTTGAAGTTTTTTCTTCAAGTTTTTTTTAATTCAAACTTTGAAAAACCATTAAATTTTGTGAAGTTTTACATAAATAAGTTCTTTGAAAAAATTTAAAATGAACTAAGAAACGTCAAATGTCGGAAACTAAAAGCAATTTCAATGGTCGGAACAAAAAAATCTTACAAATTCTTTCAGACATTAGCGCACCAAGGTTTCACATTCACTGCTTCACTAAAAACGCATTAGGCGAAATTATAGTTAAATTCGTGCAGAGGGAACGCCAAAACACGCAATTTTTGACAAAAACAAAAAGTGGCCAAATGGTTCCCGAAAAGCAAATGGCTCAGAATTTGATTTTTAGAAACGCGACAAAAAGTTTCGAACCGGCGTGATGATACCACAAAATAAGCATTGCAAGCTAGCAGACAGGAAAGGAAAAGATAACCTCTAAGTCCAAAACGACCCAAAATTAGGTGAGTACGCTGATAAAAAATAAGCCGAAATCAAAGAGGACGAAAAAATTTTTATGCGAAAAAATCAAAAGAAAGTATGCGAGGTCAACGTTAGTAGAATTAAAAATTGCAGGAGTAAACGAAAACATAAAAAACAACTACAATAAAAAAATTGCATACATCAAAAAATTCCAAGATGTGGCAACTAAGCCGACAAAACATCAGCAGACAAATAATAAGTCGTTAATTTTTTCGAAACGAATGTCTTGTTTGAGAAAAAAAACAGGTAATGGTCAGATCCGGACCCACGAGCTTTGCCGTCCCAGGCTTATTCGTTGCCTACAGACTCATAATGCCGAAGAAGCTTGGAATTTGAATTTATTATGAGGCAAGATACTAAGTGATTCTGTTAAACAAATTGTGTACCCGAAAAAAGTCTATATTCCGATTTGATAACGCTTGCTTATTGCACGCTTAGATAAAAATTGTTGAATAATCTAGGTTTACAAAAATTTCACAAGCTTGTCTCGACTTATGTTAAATTTCAGAAAAAAATCAAACGAGAAACGCAATCACCAGCGGCAAAAATTTAATTCAGTGTTCTTTTCCGTGTGGCTACTTGGTCGGCCGTTGCATAGACGCCCATTGAGCAGAAAACAAACTTCCGATAAAATTAATTTTGTCATAAAAACGTTTGGGCTATGAAGTTTTCTAACTCGAAGACCCCCCACCCCTCCTGAAACGTATCAAAACAAATCTCTATTTTTGCTCCAGTAATGACAAACTGTAAGATGACTAAGGCGATAGAAATTAAGCCGAAACCATTTACGCGATAAGTATTAGTTAAAAAAAACTAACACTTGAATGGTTGCAACCAGGATATCAACAACAAAGTGAAACCTCAAAAACTTAATGAGAATGACGTACTCTCTTTTCCTAGACGTTCGTTTCCGCCGCCATATTTGTTTCTAATTTCGTGGCTATTTTACTAAAGGTGGTATTGAAATTATAGTCTTATGCCCTACTGCAGTTTTTATGGTCGAGCTAATTCAAAACTGATTTATTCAATTAAACGCAATCTGGTACAATTTAGCCAGAGTTCGATTAGTTGTGTTGCTGATTTCGGCAACAAAGCGAGAGGCTGAGGACTTGTGTTGACACGCCAGTCAGAGTGTGTGCTTTGAAGGGAGGAACATTTGAGCAGGTGAGCCACAGGAGGTGTTGATAGACACCCACGCCACACTGGAACACACTTAGAGTTGGTTGTTACACTCTGCAATAGAAACATTAGAGGCAAGAGAAGGGATATGAACACCCCCGCCTCTCAGCAGATCACAGTTCAGAATTGATATTTGATACCCCTGTTGGATCAAATCCAGTGACGCTTGGGTCCATGAGGGTTGGTGAGAACGAGAGGGGGGAGAGGCTTCGTTGCTGTAACAGTGGGGAATGAAAGTGTCAGCTAAATGGGGCAGAACAAACAAGGATCCTTTTTAAAAAATTAAACAGTTTCTAAAATATCGACTTTCTCTGTTTTTTGTTACTACTTCTAGCTCTCTTTCCCTCTCCCCCTTTGCTTTGCTAACTCCACTCAATGTTGACCCAAGTGTTGACTGGCTGTTAAAACAATACCCTCAATTAGACGACAGCAACAGATCCGATATCCAATTCAAAATCCAATATCAACTTAGCTCACTAACTCAACTCAACCCACTTCCATCAAATACAAACTGCTTCATACAACAGAAAACAACCCCAAAACACAACAATAAAATAACGCAGCTGAACTAAATCAAAGTGTTACCACTCGCCCTTTCGCTACTTCGCTTGACCATACATTCGTCTTCTCTTAAGACTGTTTCTCTTTGATTCGGTTGAAGTCTTTTGTCCTGTCCTAAAAACAACATTCAAAGGAATCACCAACTTCTCTCACATCAGGCAGAATTGAGCCAGTCGGAATGGAAAATAGGTCTAATATCCCTTATTAATGTATTCAGATCCAATTCTATTAGTCCATTCTATTATCACAACACTTCTCCGCAAACCCAGACTCAAAAAAGGCGACATCAAAGAATAAAGAGCAATAAGAAACTGATCAGTAATGGAAACAGTCTGCAGCAATTCGACTTTCTTCATGATTTGTATATCCGTGGAACTTCCGCGCATTTTGTTTATTAGTCCTCCGGCTACTATATTCCCGGGCGAGCCGGTGGAACTGCTGTGCAAGACCAGCTCAGGTCCCTCTGGCGGCGGATCCTCGCTACAGACCATCGAATGGCTGGACTCCCGCAACAAGGTTTTGAGCAACGGCGGCAGTCTCAAATTTGAGCAAACTGATGGCTCCATCTCTGGCACCTACACATGCAGGGTTTCCAATATAGCCGGGATTACTCAAAAATCGACATCTATTCATGTTCTTAACCCACCTGAATGGGTCACAGTTGAACTGAAGGAGAACTCTCAATTGGTCAACGATACAAACGTCTGTTTCATCTGCAAATCAGGAGTCAGCACACCTCCAGTCAGACTCGAATGGACTGCGGCCAGGTTCGGACACAACTCCCTCGGCGTCGAGAACTCAACCTCCCTCATTCAGACATACGACTCTTCTCCTGATTCTGACGGTCATATTGTTCAAAAGCAGATATGTTTCCACCTTTATGAGTCACTGCATAACCAAATGTACATTCAGTGTAACGTTTTCTACCTCGGCAAGAAAGTGAAGACTGAAGAAATGAGGTTAGACGTTCAATACCCGCCCTATTTGAAGTCCACGCCTCCGTTTGAGCTTCGGATTCCTCGAAACCATTTGATTACTATAGTATGTCCTATTGAAGCTGGGAAACCTTACGGTTTTGTAGACTGGGAAGGAGTCCCACTAAAAGACACTCAGTTTGAAGTAGCGACGACCAAGTTTTCGGCCAGCACTAGTGTGAATTGTTGCCGTAAAAACGAACACGGACGAATCTGTTTCTACTACGAAGTGTTGATCGTGGAACCAACTGAGATACTGGCGCTGTGGCCAAGCTCCTATTACCCAGATCAGGGCGAGACCATTACCTACAACTGCAAAGTGATCCACGATAAAAAGTTATTTCTTCAGTTGCTTCAAGATAATTAGACCAACAAGGGCCGGAGGCCGGATTCAGGATTTTCTCAAGGGGCGGATTTTTTTTTAAATCAAAATTTTTTAACTTTTTTTGGGTCGAGCATATTGAATTTTTGAGCTCTCTAAAATCACTAGAAAGGCCCGTTTTTTGGCACAATTTTGACCAAAAAAATTGCGATTTTTGACGCGCGCTCCCCTTTCAAAATTAGTATAGATAAAAAATATATTTTGAAAAAATTAAGGGTCAGACAGCCAAAAATGGAAGCCTCAAAATAGTACAAAAGGGGGGACCTTTTGGGTAGGCAGAGGGTCGAATTCCTGAGAAGGGGCGTCTGCAACCCCCTCCTCTCCCCTTTCATCCGCTCCTGAGACCAACTATTAAAAAAATTACCGACACCCGTTTCTATTATTTTTATCAATTACCACGCGTCGCTGCTTGAAACTTAAAAAATATTTATATCTTTAATAGTTTTTGAAATACCAAATTTGCGAAGAAATTGATAGCTCAGTAAACAAAAACAATCATTTTACTCCAGGAACAAAGTGTCTCCGTTTGAGCTGACATGGAAGTTGGGAAATGTGTTTCTGGCCAACTCCACCTCTGTACATAACAACCAGTTCCTCCAGAGACTCACCCCCACATCCAGTCTGGGAAAACTGACCTTGACCTACACCCACCCACTGTTCGGAGAGAATGTTTCCTGCTCAGTGTCGCAGCTGAACCAGAACAAAAGCAGTGCTTCATTCAGTTATGCTCATGTAATTCTTTGAACCCATTTTTGTTATTCATTCTACGCGGCTTGCGTGAACTACCAATCCCCAGACTAGATAACAAATTTAAAAATACATGTAGCCCTTAATAATAGAAATACAACGGTTCTCAGCAAAAAGCTAGCAGCTCATATGTTGTGTCTTTCACTAATTGAGAAGTGGTTTTAACTAACATCAGAATCTGAGTTGAAAAGAACTTCACAAGGTATGATTAATTAATCAATTAATGATTTTCAGTCAATTGAACCTCCTCGGCAACTGTGGACTGAAAGAGTGTCCAATTCCAACTCAGCCGAGGTGCTATGGCATTGGACTGGTAGCTACACAATCATTCACTACGCCTTGTCATTCCTCACAGCGCACGTGTGCGACTTCTCACGCGAATACATCCTCGAGATGGGCACCACAACCAGAAGTCGCGACTCTAGCTACCCGCTGACTGATTTGCTCAAAAGACAAAACAGAACAGACCAGGAGTTCTGCATTATAGTACAGGCTTGTGACACGTTTTCCTGCAGTCAGCCTAGTTCCGTGTTTACAGTCAACTTCAAAGACATCGAGATGATGAGCACAGGAGGAACCACGTTCAGCAATAACATCACAACCATCATGAAAACCAGCAAACCACCCTGGGACACCTCAAGCAACCAGGCACTGGGCAAAGATGCTACAGTCGGCTTCTTGGTGTACGCATGTGTCTTTACAGTTTTCGCCGCTTCTATTTTCACTTCTCTATTCGCTTTTTGGCTTGTCAACAGGTTCAGCAGAAGGAGTCACGGACTTCCGCTTACTCATCTCAATCACCATCAACAACAGATACAAACAGCACATTACCAATTTAATAGTGACCACCTGTACCAGTCCCAAATTCCATACCAGCTCGCCATTCAGCGCAAAGTCGACGATGTGAACGTATACACCAATTTCCGCCAGATCTGACAAATCAACCTATATTCCGTTTTTACCAATAACAAATATATAGATGTAAAACTTTTAGCATTAACTTTTATTCATGATATAATCTATGATTATAGCGAGTATAACAATATATTTTCTACAATATAACTATGAAAAAGCTACTCAGCTATTAACTCTAAAAACAATAAATAGATATGAAAGGCAAGTCAGAGCAGCACTTCAAATAGCGTAACATAGCATTGGTTGGTTGGTTGAACTAGCACGTCAACTCAAGTCAACGAGGGCTCTTGGTTGTAAAAGCGAGTTTCACTTGGGGGGACTTCTAGTGGGCCTGGTTGTCCGCCATCTAGGATGAATTTAAAAAACTGCATAGGTTCGGCCGCACAGCGCAGTTTGATGCTCTTAAGCTGCTCATATTTGACCCAACATGCACCATTGCTCTCAAAATCGGGCAATGTCTTCGGGATCTGATTCTCGTCTTTTGGCTCAGCGTAGAAAACCACTCGTTTCCATTTGCCATGTGAAGCACTCTCAAACTGGAGAACTCCCTTCACGTCAATAAAAACACCAGCTTCCTCCAAAGTTTCTCTGAAGGCTCCTAAATAACACAATAGATATAATATTTCACCAAAATTGGGAGGCCGAAACACTCTTGAACTATAAAACAGACAACATAGTTTTTCAAAAACTCACTGATCGTAACAAAAAAAAAGAAAAAAAAAACAGAAAAAATGATAGTAGTTGGTAATTGGCGTTGGTAATTGTAAAAACAAAATAATTATTTGAAAAAAAAACAGGCTCAAAAATAGTTTGAAGACCAACGCCCGGCCCGACGTGAGCAAAGTTCTTTATAGTAAAAAAGTCTTGCAAGTGTAAATAAAGTTTCAAATTGCATTTTGAGCAAAGATAGACAATGGATTCGACACGCCATTTCTTTGCACCCATAAAAACGAAAATTTTATAAGCAAAATACACGACCAGCCAGGAGAGAAAAGGCTTTCGGAGACTATTAAGTTTTAATTATTACGACAATATGAAAAGCGTTCGATTTAAAACACGTTAAATTGACATGGAGCCATTGCTCTATTGGCATGGAGCAATGGAGTTGCCACCAAAGAATAACAATACTTCTTGTATATCAGGGCAAAGCCGTGAGTATTCCGACTGTCCCTTAATTCATATCGAATAGTTTTTGTGGAAAAAAAAATATTCAAAACCTATACATTTTGGACACTATCTAAGTGTAAAACTTTGAGTCGTATGAAATTAATACGACCAATTAGCTAGCCTCAATTCAATTTGGAACGATTTTGTTGTGCGAGATAATTCGCCACGCATAAATAATTCGCGTTACGCTCTAAGCATTATGAACAAACTCTTCAAAGCGCGCATAATTTAGTCCAGAGCATGGAAAATTTAGCAATTTTCAAACCCCCAGAATTTTACAAAAAATGATCGGAGGTGAAATATCTTTTTACATTAGAACTCAGAAAGTCAATATCTTCAATGGAGAAAAAAAACTTAGTTAAAAAAAATAATTATTTCGATTAGTGAAAATTGACTGAATAAAAAAAACCACACCGAGCATAAATATTCCGTTTTCTTCGAAAGTCGGAGCAAAAAACGACTTTCCCCGCACCAACAACGCTGTAAATGGTTGGAACAGCAATTTCGTGAAACTAGTCATTAGTAAGCACCCTTCATTTCCAAACTCATCGAGAAGTTCAAGGACGAGCAAAAGAATGCGGAAAATCTGTAGCTGTCCGCAGAAAAAGAAGCCACACCCAAAAAGGTGTAAAACCAAAAGCTCGACAAAAACGTAATCACTATGATTAGATCATATAAACCCTACGATACCATTAGGTTTTTGGAAGGATGTAGTTATACTATTAAATTATAATCAGAAGAAGCCTTTGATTATGATCTGACTTATTGTTCAATCTTTGGGTCTTTGATCTTTAATTACGCTAATGCTTGATTTCTAAAGCGTACATCAACTCTGTCGGCTCCAAAAGATCAAGGTCAAAAAATTCAAATGGTTTTCGACTGTTTTTGGGAACTTTTTTGATGTTTCGGGCTCTTTTGTACGGGACGGTGCATATACTGTTTAGTATAAGCACCGACATGTTTTAATCGCACTTTTAGCAACACCTTTAATTTGACTTAGATCACGCAGTACAAACTTCTAGGTGACCTGTTAGCGCAATAAGCGAGCGCTACCAAACGAAATACTGAACTTCAAACTAACGAAGCTTTCAAAGGCTAAACTTTTTTGAAATTTAGGCTTAATTTTTTTGTTTAAAATTTTTGAAACGCTACCATCTGAACCGGGTGTTTAGTGGATATTATTTTTCTGTCAGAAAAACTTGGTTCGAATCGCGGTCATGGCAATATGCAAAAAATATCGTGCAAATCGGAGAACTTACGCATTTGGAAACTATAGCTAACTTCGCACATATATAATTATCAAACCAAAAAGCATGCGGTAATTTCCCCTGTACAGGGGGTCTTAGTTCCACTCTTAAAAAACTGGCGGCCCAAATCCTGTTCCCATGGTGAGATATGAAGCACAATGTCTCTAGTTGTTTCTGCATGAGTGACAGTCACATGCGTACTGCCATGTACATGATTGTATTTTTTTCTGAAGATATCCCAAAAGAATTTGTTAAGGCGATTTTTAAGTCCCAGTGGATTGTGGAAGTCCACATTTGGGGGTAGATAGTTGGCAATACGGCATGTTCTGAAGCAAAACTCAGTTCGTGCTTTTTCCGTTCTTACTTTAGGGAGTTCGAATTTCTCCACCAATGATCGACCACTGATGGAAGAGTTCCAAAATTTGAAGTCGGTTGCAGATGTTTGATATATTTTTGAAAGTTCTAACAGATCAAGAATTTGGAAAAATTAAGATAGAGGGAGCATGTTGACTATTTCTAAGCAGCGATGGTATTGCGTCGAATAGTCATGTACCCACTTTAGCACGCGTTTTTGGGATGTTTCTAGCTTAAATGCTGTGTTTTAGTGAGATGGATACATGGAGATGCGTAGCTGATAATGGGCAGAATCATTGATTAGTAGAGACAAAGTTTTGCATGAGGAAGGGTATTTGCTGACGTGTTCCGCTTGATGAAATGTAGCATTCAAATGGATTTTTTGAGCTTTTCATCTATGTGGCTGCTCCAGGTGAGGTCATACCGGAAGTGTACTCCAAGGTCTTTCATGACTGCGGCGAGTTTCAGAACTTCATTGTTTAGAACGAAACTTGTGTTCTTACCACGGAACTAAAGATACCCATTCTAACCGTCCGCGAACTTCAATTTGTTGCAGCCTATTCATTTCGCCTTTTTAGATCAGCCTTTTTAGATCAAAGGAAATTTCAAGTTTTAAGTCAGTTCTGGTGATGAATTTTAGGTCATCAGAGAATAACAGCATGTGAGAACTCCGGAATGACTCCGGTAGGTCATTGATGAAGTAGGCCAATGACTGGTACTCCACTTGATAGATTGAGCTTGGTTGATTGCACATTCCCTGGCCGCACAAAGTGCTTCCTGTTCTCCAGGTAGTTAATCAGTAAGACGAGAAAGCATCCACCTACACTTAATTTCCTCAATTTGAAGAATAACACAGTGTCAAAAGCTCTCGCAAAGTCGGCGTAGAAAGGAATTATGTCAGTGCTCGGGTTGTCAAGGTTATTCATGAATATAACGATGATATCTAAGTAAGTTTGTTAGTACAGATTTGTTTTTGATAATGCCATGTTGAGAAATATTTACAAAGTTTTCGAAGTGGGCATAGAGAGTTCCATTCCTAAATTTTTCTGAGACCTTGCTCGAGAAATTCAATAACGTAACAGATCTATAGTTTTCAACGAGATGTTTCTCATCTTTTTTATGGAAAGGTGACACGGCTCCAACTTTCCATTCATCTGGAATTGCTGTTTTGTTTGATGGCCTTGAAGATTCTATGAAGCGCATTAATCGATGGTTCCGATAGTTTCTAAAAAAAGTTGATGGAATAGCATCTGGACCTCGCGACTTTGTTATGTCCGTCTCTTCGAGGATCGATCTTATAAGTTTCTTCGGGGTAGCAAAATTATTTAAAGTTGGCGCACCATCAGGGTTACCAGTGGTGCAATCAAAGGAATTTGGATGCGAATAGACGGATTAGAAATAATAATTAAAGAGCTCAGCTTTGTCTTGCATTGTGTTTGCTGTGTTTTCTCCTTAACCAAATTTCATCGGGAAAATTTGCCGTTTTACTCAATGATTTAAAATATGTGTTCCGATTTGAGAACAGAATATTTTGATAGTCAGTTTTGTCGCGCTCAGCTTCTTCGAGGACAATCTTTTCTAGCTCTAGAACTTTTTGCTACCTGTAGGATGTTGGTTTTGAAGGGTACAGCATCCGCTGAGTTTTCAGACGTTTCAACCGTGGAACATATTTCTGAATTATCTGATTGCAGTACTCTCTGAATTCAATGTTCATTCGATTGATTTTTAGGTGACATTCAGGTTGGAAAGGGTTGGCGAGCATAAAGTCGCGATTTCATCATAATCTGCTCAGCAGAAACTGTAGTAGCATTCGTAGATTGGTTTGTTTTTCACTACATTTAACGATACTTCAATTGACACAGGTTTATAGCCTGAGAGGTCGTAGATTTCGTCAAACTTGTTATCTATATGTGCTTTCGCTCCAATCTTCTTGACAAACACCACATTGCATATCTGGCTGTAGTCGTCGATTGAAAAACGGTATAAGCTGTTTTTCGGTGGGTACAAACTGTGATAGGTGTCGTTATCTGGACTTGTACTGCCACACAGCACGAGTGAAGTTGGATACTGAGTCTGATTGCGGGAATATGCTTGTTAATAGTTATCAGCACACCGCCATGGCGTGAGGCCCCATCGTTCGATGGCTCTCTTTCACTGCGGAAGATGTTAAAATCGTTTAGACAGTTCTGCGTCGTTGATGTTTTTGTTGAGCCACGTTTCAGTGAGGCAAAGTGCCACGTAGGTGCTCGAGCTGGTTGCAGTTGCTAGCTTCACCCTTCTTCCAAGATCAATTAGGCTTCTAGTGTTAAGAAGCAGACAATGAAAATTAGATAGTCATTCTTTTTCAGGTGTTTGGTCGTCTAGTTGAACTTTCACGTCATCCATGTATAATTCGAAATTAAGAACTTTTAGTTAAGCTGGTGTTACACTGTAGTTCAGTAATTCACGCCTCTTCTTTAGGCACATGTTTTCTCGTAAAGTCTTTTCAATGGACAGCGCCGGCAGTATGTGAATACCATCTTCTTTCATCCGATTCCTTTTTTCTGCGCTTTATGCAAGTACCATTCTTACGTCCCAGTCGTTGCTCAGTGTGATAATTGCATTTCTAGAACTTTTGCACTCTTTGTCAAACTTTCCCAATGTCTGTACCTTGTCTATTATCACTTCAACGCCTATTTCGGTCATTACTTGTTTCAGTTTTTCGTTGGCGAGGAGTGTATTATCTTCTTTGTTTTTGTAAAGTTCTTCCAGGAGATCACGTAAACGAAAGCTTGATTTAACATTACGATGGTTTTCTGGTTTTTCCTTGGAGTCAATGAACCTAGAGAAGACTTTCAGATAGGTGATTATACTTTTTTAATCGTTTTTCAGAAGAAAATAAATATCTTAAAAATTAATTCAAGCTCAAGCAAAATGGAGCTTGAATAAATTTTTAAGATATTTATTTTCTTCTGAAAAACTATTAAAAATTATCATGACCTATCTGAAAGTCTTCGCTAGGTTCATTGACACTTATAATTGATAATTTTTTTAAAAACAAATCTGAATTGTGGTAAACAGTGCTCATCACAAAAAAAACCACGTCCATATGGAGTGTAAAGCATGCGCAAACTTCTGTCAAGGGGTTTTAGGTTCAGAATGGGACCAAAACGACGTACTATATCAGTCATACGGATTACAATGAAACGTTAACTTCAGCAAATACATCAAACACATTATAAGGTAGTGGTACTTAAACATATCAACATAGGGATTTCTTTAATTTTAAACATCAATTTTTTGAAGTATAGAGTAGATAGACAAACCCTTATTTGGACGCAACCTACTTTCTTACCTTTGAGGAACGACTCTCCTGGGTTAATGCCTCCACCAGGAACCCAAAAACCAGCACCCGCTCTTTCCTGGACCATTAAGAAGGCTTTATCACTCCGTCTCTGTACAATACAGATTGAAAACCAGCCCGTGCGCTCCTCGGTGCTTCCGTCGCCATGCTCATGGAATATATGAGAGAAAAAGTTTCTTGATGTCTTTTTACAGATTGGACAAGTACAGCACAAGCACTGTTGAAAAGATTCGTGGAATAAAGAGACATGTTCTCGCAGTTCATGTTCTTCGAAGCTCATTGCTTCACAATAAGGACAGGAATAAGGTCCTTGTTTTCGGTACATGCAAATAGTCAGCGCAGAACACATAGATGAAAAGCAATTAGTAACCATATGCGCACCCAGCTCAGCGGCATTCCAGCGAAACATTGGATCTTCTGTTGCTTGCGAGTTAAAAACGATAATTAGAAGGTATGTCTGACTCAGTTGTAGATGATTTCGCAAATAATTCAAGCATGCTTGCGGATTTTCTAAATTAATGACAATAGCCACGTACTTTCTTTCTAAGATACTCGGTAACTGGGCTTCAAACTCCAAGACGCTATTGTTGAGTACAGTAATGTTATCAGGCGCAAAAGGGTCCGATTTTTTGTAAACATTATGCCTAATCAGGTAAATAAAACTTGGTGTAAAATAACTTGGTCCTTCAGACATGGCTCACAATCACAAACTGTTTCAGTTATACTAATTGTTTAGTCTTGCGCCTCTGAAGATCAGCTAAAATTCAACCCTCTTAAACCAAGATGTACATTTCTCTCACAATTTTCCGTATCTCATCTTTAGGATATTTATGTTGTCGCTGTTGCTTACACATTTTGGCTGTTGACGTCATGCAAAGATTAAGTTAGACGAACATGAGGAATCAGAAGACATATAACCGAAGGCATATTCTAAAAACAAAACAATGATCGTCTATTGCTTTTGAAGATGATACTTGCTGTGACTTTCAACAAGAAAAAATCGGCTTTTTTTCTAAGGCCAGAAGCAGAAAAACACCATTTAATAAACTATATCTGTCTTAACAAGTTAATTATCTTGTCTATTACGGTGTACAAAGCAAATTTAGCCTAATTGTTGTGATAAACTTATTAAATAGATGTGATATGTTTGATGTTTGTGCCTGTTTGTCGAGCGCCCTTTGCGGGACTTTAGAGATATGTCTGTAAGTAGGTCTCTGGTCTACGGGAAGGAGTTCCTGGCCTGGGGAGTCTGTTGGTGCGCAGCTGGACCTTCTGAGCTCCGGTGAGATTGTTCTTTTTCAGCGAATTTTATACTTTATATTTTTCTTTACATTAAGATTGTTAATAATTTCTGCTGTGTCTATAAAACTTCGAACCTGTTATTATGGGTTAGTTAAGTCCCCTTGTGTCAAGTCAAATTCCTTTTTTTCTTACGTCGAACCAAACCGTTCCGTCCAGATGAGGAAAAAGGAACGAAAAAGCGAAGAATGCTTAAAGCCTTCAGTACTTTGTAATCGAATATGATGTGATTCTTGTTCTAATTGGTGTCACATGTGACATTCGACCAGAATGTACGAAAGAGCAGTTTCGCAATCGAAACTTTATCGATCTGAAAAAGGACATCTAAGCTGGAAGATTGATGGTTTTAATGGATTAGCAGCGTTATTTGAACGATTAGACGAATCGGGAAGGGTCGGTTTTAACTGACATGCTAAATTTTAAATTTTCGATTTGGACGTGAACGACACGCAATCTTTTTACATTTCGCATACACTGAAACGGCGAAACACAACAACAATAGTTGCAAATCTCGAGCAGCGAATAAAGTTAATCAGCAGCAAGCTCGATGAAGGAATTATAAAAATAGGAATGAAGCTGGCCGCTTCAGATAACACATCTTTTGACTCCTAACTAAAATTTTTCTAAAAAATCCGTATCCAAACACCCAAAGAGATCTGATATAAATGCCCTTAAGCCGTAATAAGTTGAGAGCTTTTTCGTAACCGAATTTGAGTTGTACAAAGCATTTACATCATTTCCGAATGATTCCGGAGCCGGTACGGACAAAATTACTCCCCAAGTTTTCAAAGATCTCATTAGTAAGTCAAACGGCACTGGGGGGGGGGGGCTGTTTCTTGAAACTGATAACAAAATTTCTAAGCCTTAAAGGTGAAAGTAAACTTCCCGAGCAGCTAAGACTTTTCTTTTTTGGAAGGTTTGCGACCAATTGTCATCGGCAACACGCTCAGACGGACACATCGCGTCTAAATGCGCAGGAACAAGGCCCATGCAGAGTGACAAAATTTTTTTGGGAGTTTTCAGGTAAGATGTGCTACTAAACGAGGGAGTGAAATTGCTGGACATTCTTTTGAAATTTTACAGAGCGTGATAAAAACGCAAAGTGCTCAGTCTTGCTTCAATTAGATTTTATTAATTCACTTAAAATAGAAACTATGCTGAATCACGTTTTTTTTAACCGCCCAGAGTTGTAAAATATACACATTGCGCCTACAGTAAACCAAGTTTTTTTTAAACAAAAATTTCATCTTTGCATCAGTGAACGGAACATAACAAGGTGACCGCGAGTCTCTATAGCTTTTTTCTGAAACAAAACAGACGCTAGTAGAAAAGCTTGAATATAAAAAAATATTTGTATCTGAATATTGGAAACATAGCCGACGACTACAAGACAGTGCTCCGAGACCTTAAAAAGATAGTAAAATAAGAACAAATGCATGGCCTAAGCCTAAACACAGACAAATGTGAGCTATGTTTCTAGGACAGACCACAAGTACGCAATAGAAAACAATTATAGATCAATTATGTAATGAAGTGACTCCTGACTGTATTCTGGGTTACTGAGATAAACGGTCAAACTCATGACTGGCATCCCCGCATGTAGAAATCGGACTAAGTTGGTAAGTTTGGTTTTGAAGAATGATCTTGATAATGTGCGCGACAATAAAAATTATACTGTTGTGATTCACGAAACCATTTCGTAGAAATTTATAACTTTTTTGTCACTAAAGTGTATATTAACCCAAAAAAGGAATGCTCTAATTCTCAGTTTTTTTTATTCAGTTTAAATAAAGATTCCTATATAAAATTACCAATTTGTCTTTAGAGCAAATTTCTTTTTGTCAACTAAAATATACTTGAGAAGGAAACTAACGCAACCAAACAAATTTCAAAGCTGAAAAAAATTCCTATGACAACTTGTGATCAGAAAAATGTTTCATTCTTTGTGTAAAAATAAACCGTTCGAAACACATTTTGGCCTGAATCATGAATTGAAACAGAAAAAAATTGAAACCTGACAGACAGTGTGTCCCTTACATCGAAGGAACAAATTTCGTATATTTTGATTCGAAAAAATGAACTAGTTAACACTGAACTTTTTTTCTTACATTTTATGAAAAATGCACTTTCAATTTTTTGCCTGGCTTTGAAAATTTGTTTTGAAAAATGAGCTTATTTTAGTTTTTTTTTTAATTCTCAAGCTTTTTGCCTTTTTCTCAGATAAAAACTAGGTAAATCACTATTTAGGGGCAAAAACTAGCAGTAGTTTTGAACTTATTTTATCTGTTCACAATGATCATTCTGAATTTCTTTTTGATTTCTGTAGTTTGTTTTACTTTTTTTGTCCAGTATATTTTCATCATTGTTCATTAGCAGTTGTAAGATTCTCGTGAAAGCAACATTTGTCCGGTGTGCAACAAGTATAAATCGACGAAAAGTAACGCTAGATCCTAAGACGAGTGACTACCATCTAAACAGAGTTTTACATTCTTTGACAGTCTCTGCCATAGCCAGTTCAATGTGGTTTTTGTAATATCGGGTCGTCAAAATTTTTACCATTCATACCTATCGGCCGAACTGCACGAAATAACTCAGTTACATGTGAAAACAGTGAGCTCCCGACTGGTTCTCAGTGTCGCCAGACTATCAAGTCACACCTAGAAGCAGGGCTGGTACTCTAATACACTTAAGTTACTATATTACTTTTGTTTTTGTACAGCAGAGAAAGTCATCCTATCCATCGGAGATGGATCGACCCTTTTCGTCAATTCCTAGCTTCTCATTATCTGAAAATGAATTTTGTTGTTATTTTCAATTCAGATCATTCCAGGAAACTTAAAGTTGCTAAACATACAGTTTTGGGTCACCACTCCGGCCCTCTCCGGTTCCTTCAATATCTCTGAATAAGCGTCTTCTGCACGACCAGGAAGGGCTGAAATCTCTCCCATTAGCCTTCCTTATCCGCGTGATGCGTTCAGTAACGATTGTAACTGTGCAATCGAAACATTTTGGAGTGTCTCTTTCTCGAATATCAGTAGATAAATGATCTTGAAAAAAGCCTTACACGTCAATAATTCAGAACTTGACAAAGTAACCAATCAAAATATCGCAATTAATTTTTGATCTTTCTTGACTTCTAGTACACATAGGAAAGCATCTTCTGGATTACAATTACAGGCAGTTGCAATGAGTTCTCACTGGTTCTTTTTATCAGTTAAGTTATCAAAATGTATGTTTATTTCTACGTTAAAATTATTTGACAATCGCTCAGATATTTTTTTTCAGTTTTTCGATTATCAAAGTTTTTCAGCCTTTTTCATGTTTTTGTTCCACTTTAATTGAAGCCCATGAATTTTTTTGTTTTCAAATTTCTCGTTTCTTTGCCAGGAGAGATAAAAAAATTTAAGGTGTTTTCTTTTGCAAACCTTAAAATTTCTCATAGGTGACCGATTTCAAAAAATGACCTCTATTTTATATTAAGGAGTTTTGATTTAAAAAAAAACTTTTTTTTTGAAACGTTTTTGCAATTGAAATAACTAGAAGAACTGTTTTTACAATAAACCAATGTTATTTACAGTATTTCACAGACATTTTGGCTCGAAACCAGCTTTTAAAAAATACGCCAATCTGAATTGAACCGCTAAAATTGTATTTGTGAACTTCAAAATATAGTCCCAGTATCTGTTAGATTTTGATACCAATTGTGGTTTAACCACTTATCCTGCAATATCTTTATGTTCAAATCCAGGAACTCGAATTCTCCTCTGAATTAGTTTCCTCTAGAGTGAATTGAAGACTTGAATGAAGAGATTTGGCGAATGAAGACTTGAATGAAGAGACAAGGTCATCCATAAACCTGCGGAACAATGATACCTCTGGAGTATCATATATAATGTGGAGTATCGCATCATTGTTTTTTGTATAATATAGCCCATCGAAAGTTTGAACTTTGAAATTTACCAATGTAAAAGTCGTTACTTCTAGTCACATTTTATAATCATGATAATAACAACAATAATAATACAGAATTTAGGATTGCTAAAAGAGGAAAACTTAAGTCCACCTGTGATTGAGCTTTAGCTGAAATGAATTTGTTCTAATTTTCGGTCTTTCTTGGAATGAAACTATGTTTAACTTTCAGTTTTTCAAATGAGGCTTACTTTACGCAACTTTCTACATTTATCACAGAAACAACTAATTCTCCGAAAGCAAAGATAGTTTTCGCAACTTGCCGTCATAAGATAATTCCATTAAGCTTTCAAAAAGTTCTTCTTCATTTCAATTACAGGCAGTTGCTATAAAATCTCACCCGTTGTTTTTTTATCAGGTAATTTGTCAAAATGGATGGATTGATCCAAAAATTTGATCTTTTTTGGTTGTATTTTGTTTTTTGTCTTCGCAGACTACCTACTGTGGCTTCTTGCGAGTTCACGTTTCTTTTTCGTTGAGTTTTAGCTATATTTGTGGGTCGATGAGAGAATGCTTCACTTCAGAAAAATTAGCCTTCGTTTGTATTGCAAATGGTAATTCGATAAAATCATTTTGTGTGCTTCTCTTTCGATCATCTTCGATTGTTTTCAGCTAGAGTGTTTTGACTTCCCAGACTCACGACCCATTTGATACTATTGGAACAATGCAGCTAGAAGAAGCGTTCAGCTTCAATTTTAGATTTGCTGTGCCGACTATGCTTTGCTGGAGGAAAAAATAGAACCAATTAACTTTGAGCTCAATTTTTATCGTGTTTTGTCCAAGAGAGGTTCGTGGAGGCCATTATGCCTATTTTTCAATTACAGGCTGTTTCGTTTCATAGATTTTTGTTTTCACTTTTTTTGCTC